ACGCCAGGTCCACCTTCCCAGGAGAGTCCCCGCTGTCCAGCGCTGCAGCCGCTAACAGACCAGCTGCAAAGACTCAGCAGCGAACAGACCTGGGCCTGCCCCGCCCCCAGAAGGGCGCCCCTCACAGTCACAGTGTTGAGGCACAGGGAGTGGAGGGTAGGTCACACGGGACCTGCTGCAGGGCTGAAATGGTGCTTTGCCTGATTAGGACCGAGAAGAGCAAGGAGAATATTCCGGAGGCTGAGACAGGACCACACAAATGGCATCCTTCTGTCAGAGGCCCAGGCTCTGCCCTTGTAGCAGGTGGTGGGTGGGGCAGGGGACACAGGCAGGATAGGTGGGGACTCCTCTTCCTCACAGCATGCGAGCAGCTCCGTGCGACTCGGGCCCTGCGGTGCCTGCTTGGATCCTGGCGAGGTGCTTCCTACATGTGAGATTTGGGCGGGTACTCAGCCTTTCTGTGCCTTCGTGTTCCCATCCGTAAAGTGGGGATGATCACAGCACCTTTGTCACGGGTGGGGGTGGTAAGAGGATTGAATGAGCCGGTTCACTTAGGTGCCTAGTCCAATGGCAGGTACAGAGACAGTACAGGCACATCGGTGTCGGCGACTGTCGTTGTCACATGCGGGGCTCATGACATGAAACTCGGCACCAGGGCTGATTTTGTCCCCAGGCCATTAGACAATGTCGGAAGGCGTTTCTGGACCTGGGGGTGGTGGGTGGGGTGCTGCTGCGGGCGCCTAGTAGGCAGAATCATGCTGCCAAAACGCCCAGAGCGCTGAGGCGGAGGAATCCTGCTCCTTGGGGAAGTACTGTGGTCGTCCCATTTTACAGACAAGGAAACCGAGTTTCAGAGCGGTCAAGAGGCTCAAGTCACAAGGCCCCAAAATGGCAGATGTGGGATTGATCCCAAGGTCATCGGCTACCAAGACTCCCCTCTCCTTGGGGAGACCAGTTCCGGCAGTGGAGGGGTCCGCAGGGGGCCTGCTGAGAAATCTTGGAGGCCGCTCACTGATCTGTGTGGCCCTTGCTAGGAAGAGGACACAGGCCATTTCTCCATGTGGCCCCACACAAGCACGGCTACCCCCTAGACACCCCCCACCCGGCTCCCGCAGCGACACACACAAACGAGCACACTGCCGCCTCTTCCCCCACCCCATGGCCCTTATTGGAGTCTGGAGGCTGCTCGGGGACAGCAGGACTCAGAGATTGGGTTTTATGGGGCGCATCGCGGGGCTGCTGGTGCGTGACTCCACCTGGTGCTCAGGCCCTGGGTACCACCTGTCACCACCTGGTGCTCGGCAGGTTGGAGTGAGTCATGGGGGGAGGCTCTGAATGCCTCATCAACTCCCCGCTCCACCTTTGTCTCCCCCTGGCAGAGACACGAGAAACACAGCCTTCCCCTCGGCAGGATTCGTCTTGCAGTCGCCCCGTTCCTGCGGCCCCTCCACCTCCACATCCATCAACGGCTTGAAGGATTGTCTGTTCCGCCTTTAGCTGGTGCCCGGACAGAGAATCTGTGGCCAGGCTGGGGGCCAGGGGCTGGGCCAGGATGATGTAATCCCGCAGGGGTGTGTGTTAGTGTGCATGAGTGTACGTGAGCACATATGTGTGCTTGTGTGTGTGGCACGCAAGTGTGTGAGACATGCCTAGTGTGTGTGTGTAGCTGAGTGTGACTCCGCAACAAGTGTACCTGCGCGTGGGGGTGAGTCCCGCTCACTTTGTTCAACACTCGCCAAGCCGCTGCTCTGAGCCAGGCTCGGGGCTGAGTGCCACCGACAGAGGGTGATGGGGCAGACGGGGCCAGGCTCCCGCAGGGAGTATCAGGGTTCGCTCTCACCTGGGGAAACCGAGGCCTCAAAAGTGGGGCGGGTCACCCGGGGGCAGGTTCCAGTCCCTACACCTCTTTTTAGTAAACCAAATAGTCTATTCTGTTGCTTTTGTGTTGTGTGTGTGTATGTGTATGTGTGAGTGTGTATGTGTGAGTGTGTATATGTGAGTGTGTTTTTGAAAGTGTGTGTTTAAAAGTAGGGGTGTGCTACTGTATCTGTATTTATCATGTGTGAGTATGTGTTTGAAAGTGTGTGTGAATCTGGTGGTTGTGTGTGTGTGTGTGTGTGTGATGGGGTATTGTGTGTGAGTGTGTGGAGTACTGAGTGTGTGACTTACCTGTGTGAGCCTGTGAGCATGTCTGTAGGCACACGGGTGTGAGCGGTGGCTGCTGAGCGCCCCACACTGGTACTGAGGCCCTGACTGTGTCGCCTGCACTGCCCCCCTGAACTTGAATGACCCAGCCTCTGCCTGTGCAGGGGTCTCATGTCCGTGGGCAGCTGGCATCCTGGGCCTCACCGCCCCTCCCCCACAGGTGTGATCCGGACAGCTGTGCCTGATCTTGACCGAGAGAGCCAGGAGCGCTACGAAGTGGTGATCCAGGCCACAGACATGGCGGGCCAGCTGGGTGGCCTCTCGGGCTCCACTACCGTCACCATCGTGGTCACCGATGTCAACGACAACCCGCCCCGCTTCCCGCAGAGTGAGTAAGGCCTTCCCAGAAGGAGAAAACAGCACCTGCGTGTCTGTCCGTGAGCCCATCCAAGCCGCCCACTGACCCCACTGAAAGAGGGACATCTGTCTACCCACCCAAGCCAGCCACGTACCCCAGATCCCTTCCAATCATGCATCTTGCAGAGAAGGTACCAAAATTGTCTGATTTCCCATACATCCAGGTAACATGGCTACCTTCCCATCCGTCACCTTGCTTCCTGCCGACAGTGAGTCACTATCTGTCCACCCACCCAGCCCCTCACGGCCCTTGCACACACCCCAGTGATCTGCCACTGGCTCAAGCTTGCAAAGCTTGAGGGGTGCAGACATAGGGATATGTCGGAAGGAGGCTGCGGCCATTCCCCAGCCATCACTGCGCCTGGCGAAGCTGAGGTCTGGAGCCGCAGGTTGTTCCCTCCTCCGAGCCTGGAGGGCGGGATTCTGTGCTTCTGAATTATGAGGTCTTTCTACTCTCTGCCTCTCCCGGCACAGCAGTGGATGGGGGTTACCAGGCCCAGTCCCCACCTCCCCATGGGCCCCGCCAGCCCCTCTGTCCCACGCTCAGACTGAGAGCTGTGCAGGGGACGCAGGGGAGCAGCCGCCAAGGCTGGCAGAGACTAAATGCTGTGGGGAGCCGGGGCTGATTCCTATCGGGCGAGTCATTACTCAAGGTCTGCTGCTCTCACATTAGGCCCTGCCACAGGGGACTGACCCCCTGGAGATAAGGGAATCCAATCCCTTAGCTGAGAGCGCAGCGTCACTGCAGCCTAGCGCCTCAGCCCAGACAAGGAGCCGGGTGGGCAGAGCTGGCTCCAAGGAGCCTGGCTTGGGGAAGTCAGCCCTCCGCCCCCTCCTCCACCCCCACAGACTGGGGAAGCTTCAAAGCACCAGGTAAAGGGGAGGGAGCGCCCAGTCTTCTGCCCAGCTGTGCCAGGCTGTGTGTCGGCTCTGAGCTGGGAGGGATGGGGCAGACGAGGGCCCCAGGCAAGCTCTTATTCGTTCGTTCTTTATTTATTTTTAGCATTTCTTTATTGTAATATATAGCACACAGACAGGTGTAGAAGATCAGTGTAAAGCAAGCCCTCCTTCAACCACCAATTGGGACCCCAGAAGTGGCCCACATGCCCTCTCCTGGTCATAACCTCCCCCCACTCCTCCCCCAGAATCAACCAGAACCCGCTCTTGCAGTCTTCACCCCTCACTTTTCCTCAGGGTCCACGCACCTGTGTCTGCATCACCCAAAATTAGAGTTTCATTTCACCTGTTTTTAACCTTATTTAAGGGGATTCGTACCATATGAAGTATTTGTCTTGCTTTTTTGCCTCTCAATTTTGTATGTGAAACCCTACGCTGCTGCTTGTAGCTACAACTCATTCATTTTCATTGCTGTATAATAGTCCATGGTTTCACTATTCCACTGTTGACGGGCATTTGGGATGCTACCCGCTTGCGGCTTTTATGTAGGATACCACTTGGGAACATTGTCACACATCTCCCAGTGCCGCTTTGCACACATTTCTCAGTGCATATACAGTGGAGCAGAACAGCTGGATCACGAGATATCTTCAGCTTCACTAAATGAAGCCGGACTGTCTCCCCCGTAAAGACATGCACGTGTCCGCTGTACCACATGCTCGCTAGCACTTGGTATTGTCAGGTTCTTTCATTTGTGTTAATCAGGTGAGCGTATACTGCTTTTCATTCACTCGCCCACTGGTCCCTTGCATGTTTCGTTTCTGTGACATCTGGTGTTCTGCCAGGCACTGAGAATGCCTGATGAATAAGAGATGGGGTCCCTGCCTTCCAGGAGAGAGAGAGAGAGAATGAATGAGGATGGATGGATGGAAACGGAGAGTAAAAGGTAACAGGGAACTGCAGTAACCCACACACTGGGTAATCCAGGGGCCCTGGGCACACAGGAGCGCAGCCTGGAGGTCCGGGAAGGTCCCCTGGAAGAGGACACATTCTGTGAGACTAAAGGGAGAGTGGGAACGAGGAGGCAAAGGCAGCGAGGAGAACACAGAGGGGGGATGCCTGCAGTGAGGCAGAGCAAGTCATTTTTAAGGAATCACAGGGACTTCAGCCCCACTGAAGCCGCAGTTGGGGTGGGGCAGTTGGGCGCTGAGGAGGGACGAGGCTGCAGCTGTCAGCAAGGAGCCAGGCAGCAAGCTCCTTGTAGGGCCGGCCAAGGGGCTTAGACAACTCCATTCCAGGGGCAGTGGGAAGCTAGGCAGGGGGTTACAAAAGGGCAGGGGCATGGTCAGTTTGTGTTTCAGAGAGAGAACCCCCTCCCCCAGCTGTGTGAGACTGTGTGAGAATGAATCAGAGGCGCCCCACCCACACAAGGGGTAGCAGACCTGTGCGGGGAGTCTAAGGGATCACCCCCACCTCCACAGCCCCTGGTTCATCTGCAAATCACCTTCTCCTCAACCTCAGCTCTGGGAGGAGGGCAGGGTGCCATCTCATTCCATCTGACCTCATTCCTTCTGGTTTTCCATCTGCTTCGCCCCTGTAGCCACAATGGTCATCTTGCCAGTGTGCAAACATGCCAGGCATCACACCCACCTCAGGGCCTTTGCACCTGCTGTTTCCTCTGTCTGGAAGGCTCTTTTCCAAATATCTACTTGACTCAGTCTTTTGCAAAAATGTCATCTTCTCAGAAAGGCCTTTTTTTCTTATATTTCTTTTTTTTTTTAATTCTTGTTTATTCCATTACGGTTGTCCCAATTTTCCCCCCTTTGCCCTCCTCCACCTAGTCTACCCCCTGCTCCCACAGTCAATCCCCACCCTGTTGCCTATGTCCATGGGTCATTCATCCATGTTCTTTGACGAGTCCCTCCCCCTTATTCCCACCATCTTCCCCCCCCCCTCGCTCTTTCCTCTGGCAGCCGTCAGTCTGTTCCCTGTTTCCACGTCTCTGGTTCTGTTTTGCTTGTTGGTCTATTTTGTTCATTAGGGGCCTTTCTAGATCAACACACCTTCCTCAGCAACCCCATCCCTATCTGCTGCTTCACTGTTCTCCGAAGTACCCACCAGTGTCCGACATGCAGCTATTTTCCTGCTGCAATTGTCTAGGGCCTCTCTCCTTCCATTAAGAGGAAAGGACTGTGAGAACCAGGACTTTGGTGGTCTGTTTTGCTTGTTGCTGTAACCAGGGCCTGAAACTGCATCTGGGACATTAAAGCTGCTCAAAAAATAAGTAGAAATGAAGGAATCAGCGTCAGACAGAAAAATCAACCTAAAGCCCCACCATTAAAATACAAGTTGTTCCACTTTATGGAGTAGCTACCATGTGCCAGGCACTGCACTCAGCATTTTCCGGGCGTTGTCATGTAAGTTAATCAGGATAACAGTGCGGTTAGGAAGACACTATTATTATTCCCATTCTACATACAGATGAGGGAGTCAAGGCTCAGGATTACACAGCCAGGACTGACTCCAGAACTTTAGCTTTGACCACGGTTCTCCTCTCTCACCCTCAGTGGGCAGACGGGGAAGCCAAGGCCCAAAGAATTGCAGACATGTTCCCAAACTAATCAGTGAATAAGCCCAGGGGCAGCTCCAGGACCCTCCTCTTTGCACTGTCTCTCAGTTTCTGCAGAGGATACACCTCTCCCAGCACCTTCCTGGCTAAGCTGCGAGCCCCTTGCAGACACTCACCTCCCTGGAGCCCCTCTGGCCCCGCTCCCCTCCCCCCTAGAGCTGGTGGAAGCTGGGACATGGGCTGGCCCCATCCCTGCTCACAGCCACATCCCCTACAGAGATGTACCAGTTCAGCATTCAGGAGTCGGCCCCCATCGGCACCGCCGTGGGACGTGTGAAGGCCGAGGACTCAGATGTGGGCGAGAACACAGACATGACTTACCACCTCAAGGAGGAGAGCGGCACCGGCGGCCATGTGTTCAAGGTTACCACGGACAGCGACACTCAGGAGGCCATCCTCCTGTTGCAGAAGGTGAGGCAGCCCCAGGAAGGGTGGGGGAAGTAGGCCCTGGGGGGCGGAGTCAGGGAACCTGGGACAGCCAGGTACTCCCAACCCACTCCACTCCACTCTACCCCACTCTTTCCAGACACCCAGGACCAACCTGGGAAAATGCTGGTGTTTTCCCTCCCGTTTTACAAATGAGAAGATGAGGCACAGTGAGGTCAAGTGACGTGTCCAAGTGGCACAGCTAGGTGTCAGAGCCAGGACTCGACCCAGATTTGAAGCAATGCTTTTAATCACTACAATGTGCTACCACTCCAGGTCCGCAAGGACCTCTCCCCGCTTCGCTCCCTCTCACTCTTGCCCTTCCCTCTAACGGAGACATCACGATGCTCATCTTCACAAGTGCAAGACAGGCTCTGAGAGGGAAAGGGGCTCACCCAAGGTCACAGTCACACCTACAAGGGTTAGAGCCGGGATTTGAACTCAGATCTCATGACTCTAAGCTCTCCATTTCCTGAGTCTAACAGCCTTCACCCACTGGCTTGTCCAGAAACCAGAAGCCAAATGTGCAAACTCAGTTATTTCTAGATGAAGAGGGAGTTCAAATAAAGAGGCGAAATCCACTTTCCAGCACCTGGTCATGGGTTGGGTGACTCGGGGCGGTGTGGCCTCTGAGACTGTGCCATGGGAGGTCTAAGTCCCCTGCACTGGCCCTTGGAGGATTGTAGACCTTTGTATACCTTCAGGGACAGGACGCTCACTCCCTGCCACTGTCCAGCTCTTCCTCCTCCCCTTTAGCCAGAACCTGTCTCGCTAATTCTGTTCCTATCAGCCTGGGCTCTGCCCTGGGGACCCCAGAAGCATCTGCCCATGACAACGCTTCGTTCACTCAGTAAGTACATGAGGCCCGCTCTCTCTACCTGCCTGGCCTTGAGGGTGTGAGGATGGAGACAACTGCCAGTTTCTTCAGCTACTTCCCAGAGGACAATAATACGATAACTGATACTTATAATAAAGTGTTTACAATGTGCCAGGTGCCCTTCAGCGGCTTTCCCTGCATTAACTCATTCCATCCCTCCCTGAGGTGCTATCGCTGTCCATTTCATAGGCCCCAAGAAGTTCAATGATTGGCGTCCAGGTCAGGCATCTTGCAGAACAGAGTAGGGTCGTGGGCCGAGGCAGTCAGGCTCCAGAATCCGCCCTTTCAGGCATTAGGTGGTTTTCGGTCTTCTGATCTCCCTGTACGGTGAGTATCCTCACTGTAAGATGAGCCCACTTCACAGATGGCTAACTGGAGGCCCAGAGAGGCACAGCATCACAGAGCAGTAGAATCAGGCTCCATCCCCAGCCTTGGGACTTCTGGGGACGGAGGCCCCTCTCCCCCTCTTCCTCCCCCACCCCGGCCTGCCCCCCCACAGGCTCCAGCACTGGCGCCTAACTTGTCTCTGTGGAGCCAGCCCTGGCTCAGGGAGCGGAGCCCTGTCTGATGGATGACCTGGCTCCAGAGCCCATGGCTCACTCCCTGGCCGGGCCAAGGCCTGCCTCCTTTCATCCAGATTTCCCCGGCAACGGGACTGGAGGGGAGGAGGTGCAGTTTTTGCTGCTGGAAAAGGTAGGGGTGGGAGGTTCTGAGAGGGAGGGAGAGTCCCTGCACACAGGAAAGGTCACCCTGCTACTCAGGGAGCTCCTCCACCCCGCACCTGGGGTGCCCACAGCCCCACCGTGGCGATGTCTCTCTGCTGTAAGGCGGCGATTCTCAACCCTTTCCATCTTGTGGCACACGGAAACTAATTACAAAAATTCTGCGGCACATCAAAAAATACATTATATTTTTTGCCGAGCTGACAAAAATATAGGTATAATTTTGATTCATTCACACCGGACCCCTGTTGTTATGTTGGCTGTTGTCATTTTTTTTTTCACTCGACAATGGAAGGGAAAAGAGGTCAGTGCCCCTGACTCAATAGTCAGGTATTGTATGTTTTAAAAAATTCTTGCAGCGCGCCGGTTGAAAATCGCTGCTCTAAGCCATTGTCTTTAGAAGGCCAGAGCCAACCCCGGGGCCAGGGAGCTCATCTGTCAGAGGGTCACCCATTAGCTTCTCCCTGATGGGAAGCAAGGCTCAGCGTGGATTTAACCAGATCTCCAGGAAAGCTCTAAGGCAGCCCCACTTACGAGGCTCAATTCGCATTAGCTGCTGCTGCCCGTGCACCGGGGAATACCGGATTTCCTCCTCCCAGCTGAGGCCCAGAGAGGGGAAAGGGACTGCCCGCCACAGTACTGCTGGTCAGCAGCAGCACCATGGCCTGTCCTCTCGTGGGCGAGGGGCCAGGAGGGCTTGGAAGCCCCGCCAGGTGGGTTTGAATCCGGCCTCTGCCAGGGACCACCTGCTAAGTGACCTTGGGCAAGTTACAGACTTCTGGACCTCAGTTTCCTCCTATATAAAATGAGCTGATGCAAGCCTCTTAGGTAGGGGTGTTGTAAAATTAGATAAGTTAATGTATTTAAAGCAACAGCACATCCTAAGTGCTTTGTAAAATAATAAGTTTGGGAAATGCCCCGACATACTGTGCTGAGTAGGGAAGTCAGGATGTCCCTACCCTTTAGCCCTGAGTAGCTGGGTGGCCCTAGGCAAGCTCTCATCTTCCCCACCTGTAACCAGAGAGGGTTCTGAGTCTCCACGTGACCTTGGGCCAGCCCCGCCCTTTCTGGGTCCACCTCCCAACCTCGGGATCAGTTGGGGGTCCTAGCAGTCCCTGGCCCACTCACCGGCCGTGGCTTCCTCCCGCAGCGCCTGGACTTCGAGTCGCAGCCCGTACACACCGTGGTCCTGGAGGCCCTGAACAAGTTCGTGGACCCCCGCTTCGCTGACCTGGGCACGTTCCGCGACCAGGCGATCGTGCGCGTGGCGGTGACCGATGTGGATGAGCCCCCCGAGTTCCAGCCGCCCTCCGGCCTCCTGGAGGTGCAGGAGGACGCGCAGGTGGGCTCCCTGGTCGGCGTGGTGACTGCGCGGGACCCCGACGCCGCCAACCGGCCCGTCCGGTGAGACCCCCGCCTGGGGCCGACGCCTGCTGCCTGCTCTCCCGCCACCACCCGCGCACAGACGGGGGAGAGGGGGAGGGGGGCCGGGCCGGGAGGCAAGAAGTTGGTATTGGGGGGAGGGGAGAGTGAGAGATGGACACAGCTGGAGTTCTGAGACAAAGGAAGCAGATGTGAGACCAGTCACAGAGAGACAAGGGACTCAGGACAAGGAGAGAGAGCCTGGCATGACAAACACCGCAGAGCGAACAGGGCTTGGGCTGGGTCCCCCTTTCTGCCCACTGCGCTTTCCTGCGCTCTCGGCCCATCCTTCATGTGCCCGTGACTCCCGGGTTCCCCTGTCTTGTCCCACCTGCCCCTCCCAGCAGCGTCCCTGGATCGCCACTGAATGCCTCAAAATCGTGTTCAGAACTGAGCTCCTAGTCACTCCGCAAAACAAACGAAAACAAAACAACCCACCCCATTCTTCCAGTTGTTCCATCAAAAATGTTGGCGAATCCAGTCTTTCACACCTCCCTCCAAGCCATCAGCAAACTGTCATCTCCACTTTAAAAATAGATCCAGAATCTGACTGCCCCTCACCCCCTCCCCGGCACCCCCTGGGCCAGACCCAGCATTATCACTGCCAGCCGCTGGGCTCCCCGCTTCTGCCCTCACCCCGCACCCCTGTAATCTAGAACCTGCCCAGGAGCCAGATTGAAAATGCCCAAATGTACCTCAGAGCATGGCCCTCCTCTGCCCAGAGCCTTCCGAAGTCACCTCTCAGGCTCAGAATAAAAGAGCAAGCCCTAGGAATGACCCCCAGGCCCCGTGTGATGTGGCCCCGCTAAACCTCTCGGACCCTCACCCCACCCCTGCCCACTACCCTCCTTGCTCTGCTTCCCCTGCTCAGCCACAGGGGCCTCCTCACAGCTCCACAAATACACCCAGCTCTCCGCTGCCTCAGGGCCTTTGCAACTGCTGATGTCTCTGCCCAGAAGGTTCTCCTCCCCTGAATCTGGCCATGGCTAGTTCTCGCACTTCCTCCAGGTCTTTGCTCCAGAGGGAGGCCTTCCCTGGCCACCCTTTTGAAAACTGCAACCCCCCCCAACCTGCACATCCCCCTCCCTCATTTTCCTTGGTCCTCACTAGCCTCGCTCACGATCTAACTCACTACCCGTTTTCCAAGTCCTTTGTTTGCCTCGGCCACAAAAAGATAAGCCCCATGCGGGTAAGGATTTATGTCTGTGTGTCCACCGCTGTATCCTCCGGGTCTTGCCGATGCCTGACCCTCAGGGGATGCTCACTAAGGTACGCGGTGAGCCCATGAGATGTAAAAACAGAAAGGCTGAGAAAAGCGATGAGACAGACAGAGGCACGCGCAGAGATGTGGCGAGGCCAGCACTGAGAGGAAGAGATCTGAGAGAGGGGAAGCTGGAAAAACGAGGACGACAGTAACTGAGAGGCATAGGGACCTGCCTGGCAACGTAATAACAGGCTCGGGTAGAGAGAGGCAGAGCAGGGCCCGAGAAGGGGGGGGGGGGGGGGGGGGGGGCACGCTGCAGCATTGCTGGTGTCTGGAGGGTTTGGGGAGACCGTCCCCCACTGTGGCTTCAGTTAGAAGGTCAGATGGAATAGAAAAGGAGAAGGGTCACAGGAGAAGCTGCTCCGGAGGAGGAGGTCGAGGGCGGGGGGAACGGCTACTATTGGGTGGATGGGAAGGAGTCTCCGTAGCCTGCAGCTTTCTCCCTGAGCACTGGGGACAGTGGGAAGGGAAGTTAGTTTGAGGGTCTCTGCATCACACAGTTCCAGAGGGGTGACATTCCATCATCATCTGTGTGACTAGCGATCGGTGGAAATATGCAGTTCACAGCCCGTGCAACCTTGTATGGCGGCCCTAGGTGAGGTCACACAGAGGCCGCCCTGCTCCGCTGCCCAGGGGCTCCCAGACTGGGG